CGTGATTCATCCTATGCCGCATGCTGTCCGACCTCGATCCGCGCTGCTTTCCGTTTCCCCGTATCTCCGGAAAGTAACTGGAATCTTGATTCATTATTTCCTTGTACGTTTCAGGCATTGACTTTAAAATTCGTACCATCGAATTGGATGGAAAGAAAATTAAGTTACAAATATGGTAAATATACTTTATATGTGTGTTCTTCCTTTTTGTTCGTCATATCAAGAACAATTTAGTCTCATAAAGTTGTATGATTATAATGATATAGATTGTAATATAACTGCAATATAACGGATGTATTTTTTATACTTGTAGGGACACCGCTGGACAAGAAAGGTTTCGCACTATAACTACAGCGTACTATCGTGGCGCGATGGGAATCATGTTGGTGTATGACGTTACAAACGACAAAAGTTTTGAAAATATTAAAAACTGGATTCGTAATATAGAGGAGAATGCGTCAGCGGACGTGGAAAAAATGTTATTAGGCAATAAGTGTGAGCTTACAGATAAGAGGCAAGTGACGAAGGAAAGGGGCGAACAACTGGCTGTGGAATATGGCATTAAGTTTATGGAAACCTCGGCGAAATCTAGTATCAATGTGGAAGAGGCTTTTTATACCCTGGCACGTGATATCAAAGCGAAAATGGAAAAGAAACTGGTGAGGAAACATGAATCGTATCACATATACTTCAAGAGATTAAGATGGATATTGATTGTCCGAATATAGATTACTCTGTAATTAGTATTCATATTTCTGCAATTAATATGCTACAATTAGTATTCATGTTTTCAATGTGTAAAGCCATGACACATGTAAAAATCTACTATATACAGAGATATTAATAATTAAAATAATATAAATTAGAGAAAGATACGCTTAATTATATGTAAGTTTTCATATGAACATTTTTATCTTATATGTACTACAAAATAACCACACACTATTTCTCTGTTTCCTGTCTCTGTTTCTCTGTGTTTGGTGCTGGTCTATCTTGGCAGAAGGTAACTCTCTTTGAACATCGTTGATTTTTAACTTAATTATGCACTTGAATTCTATATCTACAATCAACGAAACATTTTGTGATGATATATCGTTGCATCTTGTCTTGTTACATTTGTAATGCTCATATATCATTTGTGGCTTTTATTTATTGTTTTAATAAGCAAATGTCTATTAAAAAGCTATATATAACTTTATGTTAATCAAATATCTGCATTAACCCAAAACAATATTTATTGCTTCAATTATTATTTGTATGTCTGATATCAATTTCAATTTATATTAGGTCTGTTTTAACTAAACTAGTGTACACTTTTAAAATTTCACTTAAATAGGTATATATTTGATATTTTCGCTAAAGCGAAAAAGATAGTTTTGGTGCAGGAAAAACAGATCCAATGTCTTGCTTGAACAGTATAGACGTCATTTTAATTTTACATTATATTACACTAAACTTGTCTAACACTGAATTTATGTTATGTTATTCCCAATTAACTTTGTAGTAAATTATTTTTAATAATCGGACAAATATAAATCATAATGAGATAACACGCATGCTGTGTTATGTTTGTATTTACTAACACATTAATTGCTAGACCAAATAATAAATAACATTTAAACTAGTTATGAACAAGTGTATAAAATGGCGTGAGATTACAATGAATTTTGTGCACTAAATATATTTTACGCTATATTATGCATTCTATTAATAATGTCTTGTTTTACACAGGAGGCATCGAATCCACCGAAAGGCGGCGGTCATCAGTTGAAAGCTTCAGAACCACAAAGGAAGCCACCTAGTTGGCTCGCCCGTTGTACTATACTCTGACCCCCCAAATATTTTCAACTGTTCAAGGAGGCGCATCTATTTACTATCATTATTTACTTATGTTCATTTCGTCGAACAAAACCGATGTTCTGTGGAACTTTTCACATCCCAAGTATCGGGTATAGTGGGTTTATTCCTTGACAATGAAACGCATCGTATTAAAGACTCGGAAATTATCTATATGAATGTATTTTTTTGCCGAAGAAACCCTCAGAGGAGAAAGTATTAAAATGTTTTATTTTTATTATATAGAAAGGGAGAGTGCATACGTGTTGATTCATGCAATTTTTACAATTTGTTGTGAAAACATTTTCTTGTTACTCAATATAATTAAAGGGACTTAGGTGAAACAATTTTGCGTTAGTTTATGTTGACAGGATTTATATCCTATTGATGTGATCTATATCCTATCGTATCTCTTAACCCTAATTGGTTCTCGCTCTAAAATTTCCTTGACTGATATTTACAGATCCAGTTTACTTTAAATCAATATATCTTTGCTTAAAGTTAATGATTTTTTGATTTGAAGATCAAAATCGGAGGAATAAGATTAAGTAT